TACGTGAGAAGAAAAGCAAACAATAAAAGTTTCAGTTTTGTGCCAAGTTTGAAAAACACGGCTTTAATATTTCTAGAGATATTCTTGACTGAGTGTTGTACTGCTTTAGTGGCACCACCTATGACGTCATCACTTTCCTCATTTGCATAATTCAAAAATGTAAATATCTCTAAAACGAAAAAAGACATTCCAAAAAGGAAAACGCCATTCTTCTTTACTTTGAAAAGCCTTTCAAATAAGCAGCAATTATTTTTTACTTCATAGGCACTTTAATTATCAAATAGTCACGGAACGTCACGTTCTTAGTCAGTTGCCACCTCAGTGATATCAACTATTATATACAACTGAGAAGCATTAGCATTTCAACAAGAAATATTGAAGGACTTGAAGGCCACCGCTACTCAGTTGACCGAGATTATATCCTACATCGGTGAACGAGTCCCTTCAAAGACTGATTAAATTAATTTGCGCTTTCATTAGGTGCCACGGAGTCTGCAGCAATATGAACATTTTCCTGGTTTCTTTTGTCACAGATTTACAATTGGACAAGTTTTGATGCGACTAAATCGGGAAAGTTTAGGTAGATATGAACTTTTTGGTCTCTTTCATAGAGACAACTGAAAGAGAAATAAATAAGGAGTTACGCAAAACGTTTCCATTCTTAGTTTGAACCCTGGCAAACACACTAGTGTAGCAGATTATATTTGTTGAACTGAGCTAGGGGTAATTCTAAAAGATACTCAGTCCACAGTAGCGTTTTTTGCACTAAAACGGGAAAAGTGATGTTACCCGAAAAATAACTGCTGTCCTCAGTCATATCACACGACATATAAACTAGTGAGACAATCTCGGATAGTGCAGAGTAAAATTTACGGTTCTGATACAGTAGTCACATAGGTCCTCACCCATGCCGTTCTCTCCCTTGGTTGTCAACTAGGCCTTCTCCCCTTGCAGAATATGAGCAGACAAAAACTTGATAAGCCGTAACTTAGCAATATGTGTGTTTCATGTTTGTGTTTTCTTTCAAGGTCCAAAAATAACTTACAATAACCATTTGTCAAGACGGCTTTGAATTTTATTGTAGTGTTTTACGCCGAGTTTCAGTCACTTTAGCAGAAGTGGCAAATGTGGCAATTTTACTTTTTACGCCAACGTTTGTAACTTGATACTTTTGTTTTCTTCGCCAAGGTATGCAACATGCTACCCTTGTTTCCTCGAAAATATAAGAAAGATGTGTATTTTTTTACCCACCGCTGGAGATAAATGGAATAAAGCTAAATATCTGATGAAAAATCGAAGAGGAACAATTTTGTTGTATTCCAAACGCAAATTTTCATTTCACTGATAGACAAGAACTAAATAAATCTAATTATCAAACAGTCATGTCCAGTCATGGAATAGCTCATTCTTATTCACGTCAAACTAATATACAATGCTATCGATTAATACAACTAAAGAGCATTTCAACGAGTTGTATCGAAGGTAATAATAGTAACAGAGATCGGTAATAGGTAGAGATCATTACTTGGTCGGAATTATATTCTTCATCAGTGAGAG